TTCGTACATCGTCTTTTAATACCTTGTCCTTTAACGTATGGTTTCAAATGAAGTCCCAAACCTTGTCGGTATGGTTTTAAATGTAGACCTTTACCAAGTGCAACTGCTTCCAACTCTCTATTATGACGCTGAGCTTCCTTCAACTGCTCTTTTGCTGCACTTGCATCATTAACAGCTTTTGCTACACCAGCAGCTCCCCCAGTAAGCGCTCCAAGTGCACTTAGACCAGCAAAAATGGGAATCAATGGTAACAGTCCACCAACTTTTGATGGCACAGGTAGAATACGAGGTGTTAAAACTTTTTCTCTACCACCTGCATTCCTTACAGCTTTTCGAGCTGTTTCAATAGCTGACTTTATTGTTGATCGAGCATCATTACCAGGAATTATTGATTTTCTTGCAGCATCCACAATTTTCCTAAGATTTACTCGCTTCTTTGATTTTATCTTCTTCTTCTTTAAACCCATTCCAAATTTTGATTTTGCTTTCATAGCGTTTGTTATTGCGTAAGCTGCAGCTCTTTCACTATATTGTGCGTCTGGAGCAAATACACGTTGCCACGCTTTGTCAGCTAATACTCTATCAGCAGCGTTTCTTTCTTCAACGTTTTCTCGATTTTTCGAGTACGCAATATCGTGCTCTTTACAAGCGGCGTCTAATGGATTAACACCTGGATCACCTCTGTCTAGACGTTTTGCTAACTTTGTACCTGGTCCACAATATTGATAACCTGGCAAATGTAATTCAAATGGTAACTTGTTTATAAGTTTATTAATTAAACCTTTTCCTCGAGAGCGATGATGTATAATCATACCTTACTCTGTGAAAGTTTAAATTAGAATGACTTGTGAGCTATATAAGCGCTGTATTTATACCTTTAGCGGCAGTCTAAATCAGGATGCGGTTCAAGGAACAACTTCACAAGCTGCCAGTCGTCAATCTAGACTCGATTGTTGAACAACAAGAGAAGAAAGTGAAGCGTCATGGTAGCTTGTTATCAGGTAGTATTCGAGCTATTTTTTGTGGACCATCAAATTGTGGAAAGACAAATGTACTCCTTTCTTTAATTTTACATCCTAATGGTCTTAGATTTGATAATATTTACTTATACTCAAAGTCTTTACATCAACCCAAGTATAAATTCTTGGAACAAGTTGTAAGTAATGTTGAAGGAGTAGAGTATTTACCATTTAGTGAGCATGAAGAAGTCATTACTCCTAAAGATGCAAAACGGAATTCAATATTTATATTTGATGATATTGCTTGTGAGAAGCAAGATAATGTAAGGGCATTTTTTTGCATGGGTAGACATGTTGATGTTGATTCTTTTTATCTTTGTCAAACATATGCCCGCGTTCCTAAACATTTAGTACGTGATAATGTTAATTTACTAGTTCTTTTTCGTCAAGATGAGAAAAATTTAAGGCATGTTTATGATGATCATGTTAATACTGACATGACATTTAATCAATTTCGAGAACTATGTTCAACATGTTGGAATTCAGACAAATATGGATTTGTAGTAATTGATAAGGATTCTGATTTAAATGATGGAAGGTATAGAAAAGGATTTGATAGCTTTGTAACACTATAAATATAAGATCATTCCTAAAATATTGTTAGTTCAATATGAAACCTTGTAATAATAACATGTTTCATAAAGAAAAAGAATATCTTCATCAAATTGCTAAAGCTAGCGAGGCAATTAGGCGAAAACATCGTATGTTAAAATTAGGAAAAGAAGAAGTTGAAAATGTGCTGACTGAAACTTTTAAACCGATAGTTCAACCCTTACAAAAAATTATTAACTTGACAGACACTGAATATGAAAATGTCAAGATTGAAAAGAAAGAGCAGAAGATAGATGATAGCATAAACTATGAAACTGAAAAATCTCTAGATGATGATAAAATAAGTAATAAATTTCTATACTTATTAAATCATAATAGAAAGCAATGTTTAGATTCAACATACGGCATACGTAAGCTAAGTGATGGATCACTTATGATTGGTGATTCACCAATAACTCTTGAAGATCAGATTGTTAAAATTGGTGATAAACGATATCTTCAAACACCTGGATTACTTGAACTTTTATTCAAAAGTAAACCTACCAGATCGTTTATAAGTGAAGCTGATGAAAGAAACTATAAAGAGATTCTGATTGCTACTAATGCACACAAAAAGAAGTACAGTTCCTCTGAATCTATACGTACAGATAAGAGTTACAAGTATTTGAATTTTATATCTCAATTCTTCCCTCGAACACCTACCAAACAGCCATCTGTAAGCGGTAGTTCATTACCTAAATTTATGATTACAAACAGAAATTTTCAACGAGAATATATCTATTGGGATGATCCGAATGAGTTGGTTGACCGTCTTAGACTATTAATGGCTTCTGAAGCTGCTGGAAATCCTAGTCACAATAATGAAATCATGTCTATCATTGAGGAACTACGTGAAGCTAAAATTATATATTAAGATATGTTTTAGCAAATATCATTCATTTCAACAATGAGCATTGACGTGTTCGGACATCCTCTCAATCAAAGAGGATCAGCAAGACGAGGGCCTCCTGGAGTTGGTTTTAAACTTAATTCTCAAGGTAACTTTGACGTTGAAGGAAGAAAACTCTGTAATCTTGCTAACGCTGAAGAAGAAAACGACGCTGTCAATTTAAAACTTGTACGACATATGATAAAACACGAAGTGCGTTTATTGTATGAAGCTAGTGCCTCACTTAGATCAGAGGTGGACAATAACAACTTATTTCTAAAAGTTCTTGAAGACTCTATTACAGAAAAGATAAAAAATTTTGAAAAAGATATAAATCAAGACTTATCTTATCGAACAGCTGAAATTATTAGTGAACTGGATACTCGCTTAAGTGCTCTTGAGAATGAACAACAAAAAATTAACAGTAGTGAATGAACTTCATACTCAGGCTAGAAAAAATTATCCTCGACGGCGAGTTGAAATGCGTGATATTGATGAGACCTGGCAAGCAGATTTAGTAGAAATGATACCTTATTCAAGAATAAATAAAGGTTTCAAGTATTTACTAACAGTTATAGACATATTTTCGAAATATGGTTGGGCTGTTCCAGTAAAAAGTAAAAATGGAAAAGATGTTTCTCATGCAATGCAATCTATATTTGCTAAAAAACGTATACCAAAAAACTTGCATAGTGACAAAGGAAAAGAATTCTATAACTCACAATTTGAAGCATTAATGAAAAAGTATAAAATAAATTTTTACTCAACATACAGTAATATGAAGGCTTCTATTGTTGAACGGTTTAATCGAACACTAAAAAGAAAAATGTGGATGCAATTTAGTTTACGAGGAAATTACAAGTGGTATGATATATTGCCTACTCTTATTTCCAACTATAATGATACAAAACATAGAACAATTGGAATGAAGCCTAAAGATGTTACTTCAGAAGACGTTGAAATTTTAAAAGAAAGGATCTCTAAACTGAGAAAAATTCCTTTAAGACGACCAAAGTATAAAATTGGTGACAAAGTTCGAGTAAGCAAATATAAAAACGTTTTTGAGAAAGGATATACACCCAATTGGACAACAGAAATATTCACCGTGGATCAAGTTATATCAACTCAACCAGTGACTTACAAGCTCAAGGATTACCAGGATCAACCCATCAGCGGAGGATTTTATGAAGAGGAACTTCTTAAAGTAAAATATTCAGATATTTATCTTGTGGAAAAAATTCTCAAGACACGTGGAAACAAAGTTCTTGTCAAATGGCTTGGCTTTGATAATTCTCACAATACGTGGGAAGATAAAGCAAATGTATAATCTATTATTCGCAAATCGTCCCTAGTAACTTAACGCAAATGTCAATCAACCAGCAAATCAATCAAAGATTAATGTTAGCGTAGAACCTCTCTATAAATCAAAACTACTTCCAACAACAGACCTTTACACTGCCAGTGCCAAATTTAATTAACATTAAATCAATAATGAATCAATAATGAATCAACAATGAATCAATAATGAATCAACAATGAATCAATAATGAATCAATAATGAATCAACAATGAATCAACTATGAATCAATAATGAATCAATAATGAATCAATAATGAATCAATAATGAATCAACAATGAATCAATAATGAATCAACAATGAATCAATAATGAATCAACAATGAATCATTAATGAATCAATAATGAATCAATAATGAATCAACAATGAATCAACAATGAATCAATAATGAATCAATAATGAATCAATAATGAATCAACAATGAATCAACAATGAATCAATAATGAATCAACAATGAATCAATAATGAATCAATAATGAATCAATAATGAATCAATAATGAATCAACAATGAATCAATAATGAATCAACAATGAATCAATAATGAATCAACTATGAATCATTAATGAATCAATAATGAATCAACAATGAATCAATAATGAATCAACAATGAATCAATAATGAATCAACAATGAATCAACAATGAATCAATAATGAATCAACTATGAATCAATAATGAATCAACAATGAATCAGTAATGAATCAATATTAAATCAGTTGGCACTGGCATTGTAAAGGTCTGTTGTTGGAAGTAGTTTTGATTTATAAAGAGATTCTACGCTAACATTAATCTTTGATTGCTTTGCTGGCTGATTGGCATTTGCGTTAAGTTACTAGGGGCGATTTGCACATTTAAATTAATATAAGTTTTAATCATATGTTATTATGTATATATGGAAGGATTTTTTAAATAAAAACACATGGAAATTGTATATAATTGCATTATTTATTAACAAACCTTTTATTTTTTTACAATCATGTTTTACAAAATCATTCGTCGATTTTCGGGATCGCATAATGTCCCCACGGTAGAGTGTCAGTACTCCCCGGTAACAAATATCGTTTGTCGTCTTGCGGACTTAAGGCTACTTTTATCTGTTTTACAGTTTCGACATTGTGTAACCGCGATCTAATGTTATATTGCGTTCAAGTTTGAATGTCAAAATCTCTCAGACATTTTACATAATCATCAAAGTGAATACTCTTTTTAACAACGCCGGATTTAATGCCTTTAGCTTTTTTAATAATGTCTTCACCTTCAACCCGTACGCTGTACATCTTACTCCGCAAGCCAACAAATTCGGTAACGATCTTGCCGTTACATTCGTCTTTCATTAGACCGAGAATCTTTTTGTTGGCTTGCGGAATGCCGTACACGTTGTTTGCGGGATAGTCTGACGTATCGAACTTTTGGATGTCATTTTTCATGTCATTGTAGACATCTTTACATTTAATTTCGTAGATTAGACTGTCTGTATCGGTATACATCAGTTTACAATTGTCGCCGTATTTTTTTAACATATACCCGTAGTGAAAATCGTAAATAAGCGTTTTGGAAACATCGAGCACACTTAACCCCACATAGATCGGTTTGTTGAGTAGTACCTCGGTTTTACGCAGTTCAATGGCAACCAGATTTTCGTCGAATATCGCTCGACTATGGAAATTCGGGCGAGAAATAAGGGCTTCAGCTCCATAGCGGCCAAACCATTGGGTGACAAGCTTAATGTCGACATGTTTACGGACATTTTCCATTGTTTTACCGTATACCGCATTGTTCATGAGCTTGAACAAATTTTTCTCGAACTCATTCTTGGCGTTGGTTCGCATCATCGTATTATAGTCTATATATGGTTTAAGCCATGTTGATTGCTTAAACTGTAAGACTCGATGAATTTTAACAAGCTTAATGCCGTTGGCGACAACTTGTTTTAAAGTGCGGTAGTGGATCACATATTTTTCTTTTGGTTGGAGAGTTGTTAATAATTTCTCCTGTTTCGAGAGGGGTGGTTTCGCATTTTCTGCGCAAAATGGCATATCTTTGTGAGTATCGTGGAGATTTTCAGGATACTCCAAGTCAACTTCGAGTATGTACCCAACAGGTGAATCGTCAGGCACATTAAAATCGAAGGAGTTGTCGACATTATCAACCCATTTGAAGCCGCCATAAGGGAGCGCTTGAGCCATTGCCCAGCCATATAGATTATTGGCATCGAAGTACATAATATAGCTTGTATCTTCATTTTTGTCAAATTTCTCCATATACGGATTATTTGCTTTAGTATATCGGTTGCAACATTGGCTAATGCCACCTCTAATACCAGACTCAACAAACATAATCATATCGATGTCAGTTATAAGTTGCAATCCTATGCTCGTGTACTTGAGCATAGCATCCCAAGTTAAACCGGGGGTTGTGTAGTAGTGGGCAGGATCTAACCCGTACGCTTTTACACATTCTACTCGGAAATTTTCAAAGACGTCCGCAAGTAACAGTACATCAGTTTTCATATACAAATGGACATAGTCATATAGATTTTTACAGTCAAACTCGGTCCATACATTTTGCGCATGCGCATACTCGTCATCAGAAATACCGGCATCATAAAGCGTACTATAAAATTTCTCGATCGGGGGCAATTCGGTTTCGTCTAACTTACTTTTCGAGTCAAAGTACTCATAGGGGAATACACCTTTACGCGTTAGTAATTTTATTTTATCCGGATCTGTCACCGTACTGGCAAAAACGGAGTTGACGATTTTGTACTCGTCTAGGTACGATGCGAGTTTTTCTAGGGATGCTGCCATGAATCGCAATGAGTCAATGAATCGAAATTTGACCTCACTCCCCTTGACATGTTTAGTAAAAGAGATGTACTTCTCTTTGTTAATGGGGAGGAGGTCAATTTTTCCTTCAAAGCTCGTAGAAATCGCATGAATTATAAAATGGGCGTCGTAACCACTTAAGTTGTGGAACACCACGGGAATTGTTTGACAGTCTTGGTAGTTTAGATTGCACGATTCATGGGCAGCACCCCTATATTTGCCAGTAAGGTGACAGTGATCGCGGACTTTCTTTTCGCTTGCCGGTATTTTCTGATGACAAATGTGACATATTGTCGCTCGCTTAAAGTCACTGATTTCTTGAGGAGTTAAGGCATTCATTAGTATCGGATTTTTAAATACATTATCAATTTTTTCAGATAATTGCCTTAATTCCTCAGTAAACCATTTAGCAGGATCAGATTCATTTTTCGGACATGGTACATATTTACATAATGTTTCGTCATAACTACATTTTATATAATAGCCGATGCTTAACAATTTGTGGCGCTGGAATACTTCAGTTTTACTTAAATTGTCTACATCTTCATCGGCGGGAAGAAGTAGACTTTCGCAGTCGGCGTAAATTACATACGGTACTTTCTCTTTATTCTTATAATTTTTAAATGTGATCAGACTCTTGTCAGGCGTCGGTAATTTAATTTTACACTCATTCATTTTTTTACAATTTTCGATGTGTGCATTCAATCTATCTACAGATGAAAAGTAGTGTAAACAGCGGTCACAGATATGTTTTTTACATTTCTTTTTAGACAACTGTGTAGACACAAGGCGTGACAGATCTTTAATCCATACATAATGGAAGTTCATAAAATCATCGTTGTCATACAATACAGTATTATCATCATTATTTTTATCCGCATACATGTCGGCAACATACAAGAGATTTACATGCTTATCTCTTTTTTCCGCAGTGAGATGGAGAGGGTGTACCGTAAAGTTACCATAGCTCTTTGATAGACCGTACACATTAATCGAAACATCATTAAGCTTTTCAAATTTCGGGATATTTTTAAGCGTCACTGGGAATTCAATTCCCTCAAAGTTCAATTCATCTTTAAATTCTTTAAAACTAGACACACGTTTAGGATCGGAGACATTTGGGTGTAAGGCTGACAATACCGCCCACTTAAAACATTCATTGTCATTATTTTGCACGTTAATACATGCATGTTTATTTTTTATTTTTATCGGTAAATCAATGTAAGAGCTTGCACGCATTGGATTATATTTATTTACATTTATTTCTAATCTTATGATTGATTGAAGGTTCCAATTTGAACCCTTTGCATAGAACTCTTCGACGCTGTGCAAAATCGGATGTTTGATGTTCTCATCAAACCAATCGTCTAAAAGGGTTGTGGGAAAGATGCTGTTGGCCTTGGTTCCAAAAGGAATAGGCTTAACAACCTCCACATCATTCTCAACCCTCTTAAAATTGGCGATGAGAACACCATACACTACAATAGGTCCATTTTTATTTAAGGCACCTCTAATGTGGTCCTGAAACAGTATGGACGCATCGTTTAAAAACGAGCTTACATCGACGTGTACTAGGTTCAAGACCATATTAGTGTACAGTCTACACGCGAAAGCACTCTCACACTCTGCCCAGCGAACACGTTTCTTAATGTCTGGGTCACCGATTCCAGCGCCATCTATTACGTGGGATTCAAACAATGCGCGAAACCTTATGATGGATTGTAGAATGCTTACACATCTTTGCTTTTGATGTGTAAAGTACATCGATTTAAGAATGCTTGATAACACGTTTTCATGTTGTGAGCATTCTACAACCCATCGTTCGATAAAAGAGCGTCTCTCATTTACGTTACTTAAATAAGGTATCAACTCAAGGGCTTCTTTAATGAGGGTGACAGTGATGTCACTCTCGTCGAGAATAGTACCGTAATTCGGATACTTACGTGGTGGTCCATCGGTGGTCATCGCCTTCCGCTTCATCTCTGCACCTGAAATCAAAAGAAACACACTTACAAGCTAACACACTTACAAACTAAACAGAACACACTTACAAGCTAACAAAAGAACGAACTTACAAACTAACAAAAGAACACACTTACAAACTAAAATACTTATACTAAACAAAACGAACTTACAAACTAAAGAACTTAACCTAAAAATCAATACAAAGTAAATGCAATAAACACAGAACACAGTAAATATAAATAACAAAAAAGACGGTAAATATAACAATAAATGTAACAAAAAAGACAGTAAATATAACAAAAAAGACAGTTAGTAGTGGCAATGGGAATCTGCTGCTGCTGCTGTTGGAACCGCTGAACCTGTGAACAGAACAGCTACTGACTAAACTCACCAAAATCCCTGAATACAGTACCGTCCGAAATTGTCAGTCCACCCATTTTTAAAGGAATGAAAAAAATTCTTTAACGTAAAATTCATGAAAACTAAAATTTTTTTTGGTTTATATTTTGTAAGAGGATAAAATTTTGAAAAGAATACGACCTCACAGAAGTCATTTGCCCAAAATTTGTAGAAAATATTCTTAATAATCGTCATTTTCAATGTTTTACAAAAATTTGAATAACTTCTAAAATAATGAACGCTTTTTAATAATCTTAGGCTTATTTTAAAGGTCATTTTCTACGGAATAAGAATTACTTATAGGCATTAACCTGTAATTTTTTACTTGGAATAAGCATGACGTCAAAGTTGGACAAAAAAATTCAAAAAATTTGAAATAATATTATTAAAAGAAAAATAATTTTTGAAATTCAAACATATTTTTTTATTAACTTTTCTTTAAAAATCTTCACCATATCATGTTTTATATATGTTCTAGAATAGTTTTTAGTACAAAAAATTTATTTCAAATTTTTCTAATTTTTTTGTCCAACTTTGACGTCATGCTTATTCCAAATAAAAAATTACAGGTTAATGCCTATAAGTAATGCTTATTCCGTAGAAAACGACCTTTAAAATAAGCCTAAGATTATTAAAAAGCGTTCATTATTTTAGAAGTTATTCAAATTTTTGTAAAACATTGAAAATGACGATTTTTAAGAATATCTTCTACAAATTTTGGTCAAATAACTTCTGTGAGGTCTTATTCTTTTCAAAATTTTATTGTCTTTCAAAATATAAACCAAAAAAATTTTGAGTTTTCATAAATTTTATGTTAAAAAATTTTTTTCATTCCTTCAAAAATGGGTGGACTGACAATTTTGGCCGGTACTGTATATACCCCGAAATCCCCACTCCTACCTTTCACGCATGCGCACTAGACCATTTACCCCCACTCCAACCTTTCACGCATGCGCACTAGACCATTTACCCCACTCCAACCTATCACGCATCCCACTCTTAAATTTTCCCCACCAATTCGCGCATGCGCAGAATAAATACATACTTTATTAATTAATATTATTATGAATATTAACTATAATACGCCCGGGATAGCGGTAGTGTCGTCTCCACCCTGGGCTCAAGAGAATGCGTCCTGGCCTTGGTCATCTTCACCCTGGGCTCTGGTGATGGAAGTGGCCTTGGTGAAGTCATCGGAAATAGCACCTCGTTACCTTCATTCTGCAACTAATGAATTTATATTATATTAATTATATTATATTTTACTATATTGTATTAAACATATTATATTTTACTCTATTTTATTAATTATATTATATTTTACTATATTTTATTAATTATATTATATTACTTACGTTATACTCCGGCCGTGGTAGCACCAGCAGCTTGTTTCCATGGTGGACTGCTAACTCCACTGCTATGAGCTGAATGAGCTCTCTACCCTAGACCAGCTACCCTCGTAGGGCTCTCTCCCCACCAAGTGGTTCCCCCACTACGCGCGCTCACCACTCTGCTACGTGTGGCGGTTGACTTGAACTACTGTGAGCTCACCGTCCGCAACGAGCTCACCGCCGGTAACGCGCGAAATTCAATTTGAATTTAAAACGCTTATTGTAGTTTTAAGTAATAATTTCACTTACCTTAATTATAAATTGTTTATAATTAATAAAATAATAATAGTAATAATAATAATATTAATAAATAAGAAGTTAATTAAACTTACCTTACTTAAATAAATAAATAGTTTTAAGAATAAATAAATATTAATTATAAACATTTCATTATTTTTTATATACAATACATAAATATTAATTATAAACAATTAGTTATTTTGTATATATAATAAACAAATATTTACAAATAATATTTTATAAATAACAATAAAACTTACCTTCATTAATAAAAATTTAGTGGCGCCATCTAGCGGTTTAACCTTGAACCCTGTCGGTAAAACAGAGCACCCCTTTTAACCCACTTAAAGCTATGAAAATAAAAATTTAAATTTCCCGCCAAGCACATTTGAATTTGCTAGTGGCGCCATCTAGCGGTTTAAGTTTAAATTAACTCGGTCGGTAAAACAGAGAACCCCTTGTAAGCCACTCGAAAGTTTGAAATTAAATTTTTAAATTTCCCGCCAAGCAAGTTTGAATTCGCTAGTGGCGCCATCTAGCAGTGGCAGCAGGAACTACACTCGGTCGGTAAAACAGATTCCTACCTTATCGGTTGAGTCAAGATTTCTGTCAGGTCCCTACCTTACCGACTGATAATAAAGTAGAAATCTACATTACCGACCGTAGGTACTTAGCCGAGATCAGAACCTGCCCCAGAACCCCCCTAGCTATACTACTAAAATATTATTTTATTATAAATCATGAAAAATACATCCGTATTTTCTAAACAAGAAAACAAACAAAACAAAAGTCAAACTTTAGATGTGGACAAAAAGAATTTATTTCACGGATAATAATGTAAATATAATAGGTTATGTTTACATGTCAAGTTCAAAAAAAAACTTTTAATAATTCTAATAAATAAGTGAAAAATGCACGAGGCAGATGCAAAAAAATAGACATGTATTTTTCTCTGCATATGAATTGATGATAATTTATATTCAATTTACTAATTTAAAGAAACTTATAATCAGATTGTGCAATTATTTTGTATCAAACAAAATATGTAAATGCATTTGCAGGTTATTGTAGAAACACCTTTTTAACTAGCTGTGAACTGGATTTCAACAGAAAAGTGTGATTGCACCTTTAAACATACAAATATTCACGGCTTCCGGTTCATAGAAAAACTAATGTTACTAGATTTCTCACTAGAAAATACACATTTTATAAGAAATTATTTTTCTTAAATAAATAACAATTAACAATACAAGGTAAAATAAACGTATAATAATTTAAACATTCCTTTATGTATTTCAAACACTTTTTTTATATTATAAGCATTTATTCACCAAGAAAAAAAAGAAATGGCATGCACTGTTTGACTCACTCTCAAACATTACACACTTCAATTATTAATAATTAATTAGTTTCAACATTATTTATCATAAATGTTTTTTTTATTTACTCTAAACATGTTTATTTATTCACTGAAAATGTTTATTTCAACATTTTTCATCAATTTTATCCAATATTTTCATATTAAAAAAATGTGCACCCAATGTGCACTTTATAAGCGCACATTCAGTCAACACCCTCCGTCAGGGATGGTGCGTTATTATATACGGAAAACGAAGCTTATGACCAAGAAATTGGTGGTCGTCTGAAAAAAACTGGTTAAACTTCTGATTCTAGTTCAGATGAATTTTAATATAATAATTGCAATTCAGAAAATGTTCCATACATATTTTTAATACTTGGGATATCAATATGGAATAGTCTAAATCCAGTAAAATAAAAAAAAAATTTACTGATTTTCTATAACATTTTTAGCATTCGAATTCTTTTAACTATCCTTGCCCCGGTACTGGGACAAGGATAGTTAAAAATTTTTGTTTACTTTTTCATTCGTATCTCGTAGGGATTTAAGTCTACAGTAAAATAATGGACAGCAAAATTATAGCCAAATAACCAGGCTTTCCAAAAATACTTTTCATTTGCAGATACATAATCAAGTTTGGCCGCTAGATCCGAAAAGGTCTTACCTAACTATCCTTGCCCCATCCTCCCCTATATACATACACACATATATATATAATATAAAATCATTTCGCCGCCGCCGCTGATTTAGTCATTTCTAAGGGCCCCTTAGAAAGGACACATAGTCAAGGTTGGCCCATCGTCATAAACAAGTTACATTTGACCCATATTCAGGTCAATTTTAGGATCAGTTTTAACCTACAGGTCAAAAATTGATAAACTAATCCCTCTGCCCTCAAAATTTAGGTCAGTTTTAAGGGCAGATTTAACCTACAGGTAAAAAATCACAAACTATCCACTATGCCTTCAAAATTTAAGTCAATTTTAAGGGTAGTTTTGACTTAGAAGTCAAAAATAGCCACACTTATCGCTCTGCCCTCAAAATATAGGTCAATTATAAGGGCAGTTTTAATCTACAGGTCAAAAATTGACAAACAATTCCCTCTACCCTCAAAATTTAGGTCAATTTTAAGAGAAGTTTTAATCTACAGGTCAAAAATTGACAAACAATTCCCTCTGCTCTCAAAATTTAGCTTAATTTTAAAGGCAGATTAACCTACAGGTCAAAAATTGACAAACTAATCCCTCTGCCCTTAAAATGTATGTCAATTTGAAGGGCAGTTTTAACCTACAAGTAAAAAATTGACAAGCAATTCTCTCTGCCCTCAAAATGTAGGTCAATTTTAAGGGCAGTTTTGACCTAAACGTCAAAAATTCACAAACAATTCTCTCTGGCCTCAAAATGTAGGTCAATTTTAAGGGTAGTTTTAATCTACAGGTCAAAAATTGACAAACAATTCCCTCCGCTCGAAAAATTTAGTTTAATTTTAAAGGCAGATTCAACATGCAGGTCAAAAAATGACAAACTAATCCCTCTGTCCTTAATATTCGTGTAAATTTAAAGGGTAGTTTTAACCTACAGGTAAAAATTGAAAAACAATTCCCTCTGCTCTCAAAATGTAGGTA